CAAGGAAAAAAAAAAAAAAAAAAAAAAAAAAAAAAATATTTTAGCCAGCTTAGCCAACTCTATTATCATAAAATGAATGAATAACATTCTAATTAACATCTTGAAAGGAACTCCCCAGGGAAACCCATCAGCCTGCTAAAAAAAATGTTACATATATCCAAAAAAAAAAAAAAAAAAGGATGAATACTTCATAAACTTTTAAAAATCCACAGAAGTTTCTCTATAAGGTCACAAGATAAAGAACGTCCACATGGTGTCTGTAAATCTCTCCACAAATAGGTGTAAACACACAGGGTACATAAAAATGTAAATGCAATCACAAACAAGGCTTAATTTTTTTAAGTAAATAAAATTACCACCATGATCCTCTACACTGACCCTTTCCAGAAATAAATGAAGTTAAATTCTCATTTGAAAATTTTGCAGCTAAGTATTAGCCATTTATTGGACTTCAAAATAATGTACACATTTTTTTAGAGGACTCTAAATGGTCTAAAAACAGTAAACCAATATATTCAAGAAAAACAGGAAAACTAGACAGAAAGATAAACTATAACACGATAAAATATGCTTCTAATTAAATCATTTTGAAAATATGATTTATTAAAGAAAAAAATAAGCATATTCAATCGAAAAATGATTTCAAAAAGTTCAAAACCAACTACTTATTTTTAACTTTTTTATTGAAATGCACTGATTATAGATGTTTGTGGACTAGAGTTACATTTCAATACAGTATACACTGTGTGATGATCAAATCAGAATAATTACCATATCATCGTTACAAAACTTAATCATTTCTTTGTGATGAGGGCAATGGATTCAAAGCAATAGTACAGGAAACAAATGGCAGAAATTTCATAATAGTGTAGGTTTCTGCTGGCCTTAAGAACTCAGGTTCTATTCACCAGTGTAAATAAAAACAGAACACTAATTTTACCCTGGATTTCTTTGTAAAGGGTCTTTTTAAAAAATTATTTCGATTTCACTCTAGCTCATTTAAGCTGATAAATGAAAGTGGTTTAAAATAATACTATGAATAAAGCAAGCAGATGATTATCTCTTTTAATTTCCAATCTCTTTCCGTTTAAAGGAAGCACAATTATTGTCTGTTCACAGGAACTCCATCTCCCTCTTACTCTTTACCATTCACTTATCTTAATTTTCAATGTTATTTTCAACTCTATTTATGATTAAGGACTTCCTTCAAAATACTGATATAGTGTAGAGAAAATAAACTGCCAAAATGCCTAGGGTTTCTTCTAATTTCCGAAATATGCCACAGTCAACAACCTTCCACATAGCAGGGGGTCTTCAAAAAGTTCATGGAAAGATTCGTATTATCTTTTAATTCTATTTTTCCATGAACTTTTTGAAGTACCCCCATTTCCCCCGAGCATTCTGCTGCTTCTTGCTTACCTGACACTCCATTGCCATGGTTGCTCTCACACAAATATATCCTTGGTAAATATTATCAGTTATTTTTAATCAGGACTAATATGATTCCCCCCTGCCACACATTGAGAAATTAAGAACCTTACATTCTAATACAAGGCTCCTTCACTAATTATCTCCCTTGCCTGAGTTATGCCATTCCAGAGCCTTGATATTTTTCTCACTAGGAAAGCATATTTAAATTTCCTTTCATCAGCTTATTTTTCAACTTCTAAGGGTTCCCTTTATTTTTCTCTGAGCTAACCACCATCTTTTACAGAATCAGTTACTATAAGTTCACATCTTTTTGTAAAACTAAATACTAAATAAATAGAACTGGTGAGAAATAATTTCTACCTAATGTTACCTAGTTTAAACATGTCAAATATGATTCAATATAATGAAAGAAATGAACAGGTTTCAAATATATGTCTCCATCCCTGTCTGCCTGTAGCAGCACTGACTGGGATATTCCTAGGGTAATTTCTAGGACACATAGGATAATTTCCAAACTTCCTTAATTTTCTATCAAAAATAATGCCAAAGAGAATGGGCACTCAATATGTATCACAATATTCACATTACATTAACTCCTTTCTTCGAAAGAAATTCCTCCATGAAGCCATCGCTAACATTTGCTACTACTATTCTCACCAATTCAAACCAAAACTATTTCAACTAATGTATTACCATAGCTTGAACATAAGCCAAAAATGTACAACTAACTCCGTTAGATGAATAATATATGTGCCTACTGTTGCATGTGTGTATTTTCTATGATTAAGCTCTAGTATGTTAATAAATCAGTTTCCTTAATTTTATCATATATGAGTATACCTCATCTACTATCACAAATATATTTGGATAACTTTATAATGATGTACCAAAAGTTTATTGGGGGTAATTTTAACAAGAATTTACCCAAGATTAAATCAAGGATAAGCTATTTGTTATCTGATAATTTAAATATACAGAGCCACTTCAAAAGATTACTTTACACAGTCAGCTTTTTTAAAAAGTAAAAGAAATTCAGAAGAAACATAATGATATGGTAAATATCTTGAGTATAAATTTTTGTTCATAAAAACAAGCCAAGTACAACTTTGAGCTTTATATTATGTAAGTGCACAGAGGACTTTCTGAAGAAGCATAAGCACAAATATGAGGAGTCTTCAAAAGGCTCATGGAAAGTCTCATATTACCTTTTAATTCTATTTTTCCATGAACTTTTTGAAGTACCCTAAATCTTTAACATTTAAAAGCATATGTAACAAAATACTACACACACACACACACAACACACACCAGGTTTAACTAAAGTAAAGATGAAAGGACAAAAACCTGACTTGTTTAAAATGTTTGTTTTAATTATTAAGAGTTATTTTTTGCTTAACAGAATAATCACTAACTAGCAATAAATTGCTTTACCATTTAAATCATCTATAAGTGATAGCAACACTAACAGAATCAAAAAATAGATTGGGTATTTAAATAGAATATATACTATTAAACTAAAAATGTATATGAATAAAAAAATAAATAACAAATTTGAAAACTATTAAAAATTTATAATGATAGTACTTAAAACTGGATATTTAAAGATGTAATTGCACAATTCTATCACACTTAAAGATAATCACAAAATTTGTGAAACAGTCCTCATGATTTATGAAATATTTTTAAAACATAATTTTAGCCATATTAACAACCATCCATTGTCATTATCAACTTACTCTTTAACACATCATATATGATCACGCCCTTCATGAATATTTGTTGTAGCTCAAGTAAGAAAATTTCTCTAGTACCCAACAGATATACAACCTGCACTTTTTGCAAATAAACTCACTGAAGAATAAGACTAGCTTCATTTCACACTAATACCCGGACACAACTACAAAAGAGAATAGATATATACTTCCTAGAACTGTTACAATTTCCTGAGATGACATTAGGGAAAACTCAAGGATGTCTCTACTGAGAGACACAGAGCATTCCTAGCCTAGAATGAAAGAGACCACAGTAAACAATGGCTTCCATACTGCCAAATCAAGTGGTCATTTCTGTAACATCACCATATTCAGACTCTTAGCAGCATCTGACATAGGTTTACATTCCATTCATGAAACACTTCCTTCTTCACGCTGTTGTGACACCATCTCCAAGTTTTCCTCCTACCCAGCTAGCTGCTCTTTCTTAGACTCTTCTAGCCTCTCTTCCCCTATCTAGTCCCTGAATGTTACAAGGCCCAGGGCCCTCATGTCTTCTTTATCTATACCCTTTCCCCCCAATCTTCTTATCCAGTATCATGGCTTTAATTACAAGTAGATGCTAATGACTCCCAAATCTATAACTTCAGGCCTAACCTCCCTAGCTTCTTTCATCCCACTGCCTCTTCAACAAGTCCACTTGCATGTTAACAGGTATCAAACAGAACTCATAATTTTCCATTGCAGTCCTACTCCTTCCCCATCTGCCCTGTTAAAGAAAATGACACTACCATTCTCCCAGTTGTTCATCATTCTCTTTTCCTCATACTCTACAGCAACCCGTCAGCAGGACCTATTTCTAAAACAGAGCCCAAATCAGTCCACTTCTCACTTGTTGGGTTATATTACCTAAAGATCTATGTCTCTTTGAGAATAAAAAAGAAAAATTGGTTACAGATGCTGACGGAGACAGCATTTGTACACACACAAAAAGACTGAAAGTTTGCATGGAAAACCAGCAAACATAATTGCTTAAAAGCACCCTAGATGCAATCACAGAAGAGAAAACAGAGCCTGAGAGAGAAGAGTAAAAGAAGCTATGAGAGAGTAGAAAGTCAGTTTAGAAATAACCACACTCTGATCTCAGCAGCCTTTACCACTTGTGTAACTGAGTCTTCCAGTTTCTCTATGAGGAAAAGAATATGGGAGAAAACTTTTGGCAAACATAATTGTTTTTGTTTTAGTAGCATCTTCAAATAGTAAGAGTGAAGAAAAAGGGAATATGAATTTAAAATCTAGAAGAGAAACATATGAACAGTAATTAAGTTACTACATACTGTACAGAGATCTTTATATTGCAGCTTTTGGAATTTTGTATCTGTGTTTCCTGCACATAGTTCCACATAACCAAGAACAACTTGAAACACAGTATTATGAATGGCTTGGGTGAAGTGCATATGAAGTTGATCCATTGCTGTCTATGGAAAGAAAAAACACACAACATAATTTCATGTTATTAAAATAAACAAATTCAACAGATTGGAACATACAGAGGAAAAATATTTACCAATTATAGCTACAGCACAAAGATCACTATTATTCCCAGAATTATAACTACAGTGTAGATTACTTGCAAATAACCCTTCACATAACCATGACATACCACTCAAGATAAATCTGAATCGTGAACACTGCTCTGTTGCTCCGTATTTCTAACTGGTATTCATCCCACTCTTTCCCAAACATGTCATACATAATCACACCTCTGGATCCCCTCTGCCATCACATAATCATTCTCTTACATTATTCAGGACACTTCTCAATGGCCGCCATCTTGGAGAAGCCTTTCCTGACTATCCTATATAAATCAGTACTTTCCATCACCATACCCTGATTTATATTTCTTTGTACCACTTATTCCCACCTGTCATCATATTCATTATTTCGTTAATGTCTATATCACTAACTAGAAGGTAAGATACATGAGAGCCTACATTTAGGTGCCTGGAGCAATGCACACAGTAGGTACAATATTTCATGAATGTAAGACAATCTTATGGAGAAAATTAAAAGTTATAATCCTACTTTCAAAGATCTTTAAACATGTCCCTCAAAATTGCCAAATGTCTCTCTTCTTGCATTTTTTCCTAGGTATAGCTTAAGTCACACAAGTTAATGAAGTACAATAAACAGCTGAATTTTTTTATTCAGATTTTAAAATGTAAATAGAGTTTAAATTGTTTGGTAAAGTCTTAATTTCTTCTAAGAGAGGGGACTACTTAAGGGAAGAAAATATTTATATCTATTATGTTTAAAAGTTGCATAAATGTATAATCCTGTACACAGAGAAGATACAATTACCATGCAAATGATGGCCCCTGTTTCAAGTTTTTTGAGGAAGACCTTGAACAGTTAAGAGTATGAAAAGCCATGCATAATGAGAGAAGTTATGACATTTGGGGGATAATAGAACCCTGTGAGAAAAATCTAATAAATGTAATGGACCTATTTTACAGATAAATGTACCCAATGAACAAAAGTTCATTTTTGAGGGAGTCATGCTGGCCTATCTAGGAACCCATGTAGCTCCAAATTAAGAAGCCTTGTTTCAGGACCAAGATCTGAGGTATATAAGAGACTACACGTCATCTCCCACTGAATTATCCTATAATATACTTTTTATAAACCTACATAAAACTGTGAAAATATTAAACCTGACAAACACTTCACAGTTCAAAACAAACTTTCAGTATCAATATAATACCGTCTATGTGAACATCCATGTTATCACTGTTAATTCAGCATAAAAATGTACTTCATTGAATGAAATTTTTTAAGAACACTACATTAGTAATATTCAGACTTAATCAATCATGTAGGTCAACAGATTCCTGATTAAGAAAAAAATTGAATGTCATTTTGAAACTAACCTGTGTTTTTCCAAGAAGTCGATAAGCTTGTTGAACTTTGGTATAATGGTTAATGTCAAAATTCTTACAGATTTTGGAAAGAGCTACATCCAGCTGTTCCTGTGTAATTCAAAGAGAAAGCAAGAGGTGGTTAAGGAATTAGGTTTTCTATGTCTTGAAACCCATGCCTAGTGTAGTTTCTTAAGAAATCTTATTTTTTATTTATTTTATGTTTCCTCAAGCATCAGCTAAAATCTTACAATTATATAAACTGAATTTCTGGGACTACTGAAAAACAATAAAACAATCTTTCTGTAATCACTGAATAGCAATTCTCAACAAAACTACACTGACTTTAAAAGTACATACCTCAATAGTTAGGCTTTTATATCCAAGTGTGTTACTTTGTTTATGGGTTTCTATTTCAATGATTTCATTTTTAAATAATGATTTTCTCCATAAGCACAGAATAATATTGTATATTAAAAGTGAAGAAATACTGACCTCTCAATAGAAAGCTCTCATTAAAAATATTCATGGAATTGTTTACTTAAGGGATTCAAACCAGTTGTTTTGTGATTATCAAATAAATTAGCATTCTTACAATTATCAAATAATTGCTTTTAAAATCAAAAACTACTTTCACAAAAGGTCATTCAAAGTCTAGCCTCAACTTTTGTAAGTACTCTTATCAGGAAAACAATAAAATAAAATACCAGAAGAAACTAAATAATTCTAATTAAATTTATTAACATAAACACCCAGTTTGCAAAGACTGCCAAGGACACAGATGAACTCTGAATATGGGTAGGAGGAAAAACAAGGCTTCATGCTCACAATGACTTATCTTTTTCCTCTACAGTTTCTACATTTTTGATGAACTACATGAGATATCATTATGAGGTTTAGTAATTTAGGAGGGTTTTCATCAGCCAACGATTACTCATAAGTAAATTAACTCACTAAACTAAAAAGAGAAGTAGTTGATAATCAAAATATAATTAATACATGGGAAATATTTTAGCTATAATATAATGTGCATGAGAACATAACTATAACTAACAGTTTGGGGATTTTTCTGGAAATGGTGATACTTTAAGTACTATTTTGAGATCTCATAATTCGAAAAGTATTATTGAGTTCACAAGTAGATTAACACTAACCTGACTACACATAGCTATTCCAAATGAAAAATAACAAGATATAGTGATCTAGAAACACTGGTAATAACATGAAAATCAAAACATAATGTTGCACCTATGCTATTCAGAAACACCTGAAGAGAAAAAGCAGTTTAAATTATAATATAACCCTTCTTACCTCAATTTGTTCTAAAGTATCTTGCAACTTTGAATTCAGTTCACTATTAAATAAAACAGAGAGTTAGATATGTCTACCTTTTAAAAGACCAACTAAATGCTAAATAAAGACATGCTAGCTGAATAAATAATCAACAAATTCAAAGATCAATAGTATGAGCAGTAAGACATGCTGGTGAATCTACAGATAATGCAATAAGGCAAGAAAAAAAAATAAAAGGAAAAGCATTAGAGAGAAAGAAATACAAGTCATTGCTAGCAGCAACAGAATTGTGTGAGTAGAAAACTCTAAAGAACCTACAGGTAAAACTAGGCACTTAAGAATTAAAAATTAGGGCCGGCCCAGTGGCGCACTGCTACAGTGCGCCGCTTGGGAAGCACAGCAGTGCTCCCGCCGAGGGTTCGGATCCCACATACAGACCGGCCGCTCACTGGCTGAGCGAGGTGTGGGCGCAACACCGAGGGTTGCGATCCCGTTGCCGGTCCCGGTCCGGTACGGGCGCGACACTGAGGGTTGCGATCCGTTGCCGGTCACGAAAAAAAGACAAAAATAGGAGAAAAAAAAAAAAAGAATTAAAAATTAATAGCAAATTTTTAAGATAAAAAGTATAATTTAAATAAAAAGTAAAATTTCAAAAATAAAATTAATTTCTATATATTAGGAACAAAAAATTAGAAACTATAATTTTTAAAAATACCATTTAAAAAAGCCAAATGCCTGTGAATAAGTCTAACAAAAACATACCAGACAATACTGAGCTAAAATAAATTAGACTTAAATACTAGAAGTACAGATGCTCCTCCACCCCTCATGGGGTTACACCATGATAAATCCATTGTAAAGTGGAAAATATCCTAGGTTGAAAATGCATTTAATATACCTGACTTACATCACAGCTTAGCCTAGCCTACCTTAAAAATGCTTAGACACTTACATTAGCCTACTGTTGGGCAAAATCATCTACCACAAAGCCTATTTCATAATAAAGTGTTTGATAACCCAAGTAATTTATTGAATACAGTACTGAAAGTGAAAAACAAAATGGTTGTATGGGTACTCAAAGTAAGGTTTTTGCTGAATGCATATCACTTCAACACCACTGTAAAGTCAAAAAATCGTAGTGAACCATCATAAGTCAGGGACCATCTGTATACACATGTATAATAGATTAAAACCTTCAATATAGTTCTCACCAAAATGATCTCCTAAAATAGTTGAAATTCTAATCAAAATCCCAGCAAGATTTTTTTTTAATTTATGGAAACTGACAAGAAGCTTCTAAAATTTATGTGTAAATTTAAAAGGCTAAGAATAGCCAAGAAAATCTTGAAGAATAATGCTGAAGGACACATACTAAAATAGGTTGAGGATTATAATAAAGTTACAGCAATAAGACAGTGTGGTACTGACATAAGGATACATAAGGAGATCAACAGAACACAGTAAAGAGAAAGGTAAATGGCTTGAACAGATACTTGACAAAGGGAATATCCAATTGACTAATAAACACATAAATGGGCACTCAAGTCCATTAGTCATTCAAGAAATGCAAATTAAAACTACAATAACATTGTAACAAATGACCAAAATGGCTAAAAATATTTTTTTAAAAATTAAAAATGACATCACCAAATACTGGCAAGGATGTGGAACAAATATTCATTCATTCAGTGCTAGAAGAGGGGAAAATTGATTACACCCTCTTTGGAAAACCATAGTATCTATTGAAATTCAACATACTCTGTATATCCCACAGTTCTAATCCTGTATATATATATATATCTAACAGAAATGCACACATAATCCTTGTAGTATTATCTATAACATGCAAAAACTTGAAGCATCATAATCGTCTATGAATAATTAAATGATTAAGTAAAGTGTGATATGTTCATACAATGAAATTCTACAGCAATGAAAATATATGACCTGAATTTCAAAAATATAATGTTGGGGCAAAAGAAGTCAATTAAAAGAGTATATACTATATGATTCCATTTATTTAAAGCTCTGAACAAGCAAACTAACTTTAGTGACAGAAGCCTAAACAGTGGTCACCTTGGGAGAACGACTGGGATGGGGCATGAGGAAAGTTTCTGGGGTACTAGAAATGTTCTTTTTCTATTTCTGGGTAGTAATTATATAGCTATGTTTACTTTGTAAAAATTTATTGAGTTATACACTTAGGTACATGATTGAATCTAGTTTTTATTTTTCCCCCCTTTAATTCTCACTAGGTCAGTTAAAAAAAACAACAGAACTGACATTAAGAGAATTATTTTATCTTATTATGAAAAAAGATTTGTGATATCTAACAAAATTAAAAAATGAGAAAATTTTTTTTTCCTTTTTGTCTTTTTTCGTGACCAGTAACGGGATCGCAACCCTCAGTGTCACACCCGTACCGCGACCGGCAACAGGATCGCAACCCTCGGTGTCGCGCCCGCACCGCGCTCAACCAGTGAGCGGACCGGTCTGTATATGGGATCCGAACCCTCGGCGGGAGCGCCACCGCGCTCCCAAGTGCCGCACTCTACCGAGTGCGCCACCGGGCCGGTCCAAAAATGAGAAAATATTTTAACAAAAAAGACATACTTAAATTTTTTTTTTAAATAGTAAGAACAGATCAACAGTGTAGTTTAATATATCAAAATCATACAGGTTTTTTATAACTGCTGTCTGCTGATTATAAATTTGACTCTCAAATTCCTAGCAGCCAAAGCAAGTAGGTAGGGCCACGATATACAATTCAGCATTCATAATATCAAAATATACCAGTAGCTCAAGGGGCAAAAAATCAAAATCAAAAAAAGCAACAAAAATCACTTCTGCTGACATTAAGTTTGACAGAAATTTTGCCAGAGTACTGATAAAGGGAACCTTTTATTTCCTAAGGCACAACACCCTTCACAATACCTTATAGGATATACAATAATCAGTTCCTTGTGCTTTGCTTCTTATAGAACCTTTCAATGCAGCTTAGGAGATAACACCAGAGCAAGATAGAGACAAAGATATAGATATAAAGCAATTTTTCAGAAAAGTACAACTAATATAACATGAATACCTAGTTTTTGATGGTCTCCAAGATAAATGTCCAAACATCTAGAGGAATTAGACCATTTTCTACAAGTAATATTTATCACAAGCATACTTTGGATTGAGGTTGAGGATTGGCAATTAGTGAGCAAAACTATATCCTTTGGCAATAGACAGTGGAGGATTGATACCTTATTAGAAAAAGTAAGATTTCTCACCAAGATTTATTCCAGAAATATAGCCAAATCCACAGGTACAGGTTAAGGAAATACTTGTAGTCTGGACTGATATTTTCCTTAAAAAAATGATTCTAAGACAATTCCTGCCCCCCAAATAATAAATGAACGAATGAATGAATGAATGAATGAATGAACAAAGAAAGAATGAGAATGAAAGGCCCAAAATAATACCTCAAAAAGGATAGTCATGATTATGCCTTAGAACTTAGAAAGAACTAAATACTCCACACAAAACAAAACAAAGAAAAACAAATCAGTATTCTCTCTCCCCACAGTTGTTCCTTCTCCTATGTTTTTTGTCTTGATTCATAGCATAATAACTCACTCAATCCAAGCTGGAAATCTCAGTCATCTTTAATTCTTCCTACTCTTCACATGTAACTGGTAATCAAATCCTGATGATACTACCACTTCATTTCAGTATTTCCCATATCCACCCATGCTTATCCTTTCTCAGTTGTGTCCTACCTCAAACATTATCATCTTTTGCTTAAGCTATTATAACAGCCTATTAATAAATCACTGCATACAACATATACATTCCACCCTTTAATCCATCCATCTGTTTACCTGACAAATACCATCAACCAAACATTGGACAATGTCCTCCAAAAGTCAGGGATAGCTCAAAGCAGGCATCTAACTTCACCTTGGATTTGGTCAATATTCTTTGTGATTTGGCAGACACACACAAACAGCTTGTATGTGAAAGGCTTCAGGCAAGGCAAGTACTCTTCAGTCCTCTGGGCCCTACCATTCCCTATGGTCTTGCATCTGACAGATTCACATTTATGTTACCTGCCTGGTCCCTAAGGACATCTGAGTTTGCAGCTCTTAAGTAAAGCAGAAATAAAATCACAGTAATCTCATGCTTCAAAACCTTTGGTGGTTCCCCATTAACTGAGGAAAAAGCCTCAATTTAGAACAGCATGTAAGGCCCTTAACAATCTGACATGAAAAAATTAGCCTCCCATTCACTTTTCAATGCCTATATTTTAGCCATATGGGCTGTGTGTAGTTCCTCAAATAAACCTCAGACTTTCACACCTTCTGTTCTTGCACACAGTGTTCATAATAACTAGACTATCCCTTTTCCCTTTCTCACTCACAAATGTCCATCTATTTTTCAAGGCTCAATTCAAATTCCATCTTCTCTGGAATTCCTCCCCTACTAACTAACTGCTCCCGTAAGTTTCACAATACTCTGTTTACAGCACCCTGCATTGTAGTAAGGAATACTCGTGACTGTGTCTCTGGGCACAAGGCTCCTGGAGACTGTGGCTTATTCCCCAGTGACTCCCCAGAACTAAATTCACTACCTGATTCAGAGCAGGTAATAAATAATGGCTGAGTCAAATTTGCAAATTCAAAGAAAAATGGCAAAATTGTACTACCAGAATCCAGAACTGGTAAACATATTCTTTTAGGGAATATTTTGAGTTTGGAGAAGAAATACATCTAAATTCATTCACAGGTAAGAGTAATAACTTCTTCAGTTTCTCTATCAAAAAAAATGGGTTTCAGTGTTTATAAAACTATCATAAATCTAGATGTTTTTATTGCTGCTATTATTTATAATTAAATGATTCTAAATCCTACGTATTAAGAGTTAAATGCAAACATGATAATGTAATTAGCATATAGAAGATTATAAATATAAAATCTATAAATCAAAAATTTGGTTTTATTAAAAATGCTTTTAAATGTACAAGTGCAGTTTGACAACAGTTTACCACTAATTAAAAATATATATATACAAATTATG